GTGTAAGGGCACTGTCATTGTGAAAACACCCTTGTTTATAGCGACATAAATTCTGAAAAGTTTAGCACGGAAAACGGCATAGCTGTTATGTAAGAATGGTCTGCAAATTGTACCGACAAAATATTTTTTGTTGCTTTTGAAAATAACATCTGTGATATCTTTTCTAGATTAGCTTTATTTCATGCACAGAACCCTTTGTGTCTTTAGACATGTAGTGTGAATAAAGAATGTTTATTATATTAAGAAGCGTTTCTATTTCTAATACTCATTATGCTACAGAATGTTGCCACCGCTGGTAGTCCGAACCCCGTTATTGTCGGGAGAAGGTCGTTTGGTGTGTCGTCCTCACTATCCGTTAAGTTTCGAATCACGTGATTCAAGTGGCCAGCTGTTTCCAAGACGGCGTCCTGTCTTTCTGAATTCGGGCTTCTCTGCCGACTTTCTCCTCCCGTCTCAACATTATTCCTCCACTTCCAGAGGGCAGCGTTCATTTTTTGGCACTAGTGCTGCTGCAAAAAGAGCTCGCAGTGGTTCTCAAAGAAGCAGCGGTAGATCGACCAAGGTTACGGTGCCTAAAGCGCTTGCTATGCTATGTGCCACTTGTTGTATTCGAGTGCCCCCGGCCGATTTCTACGAGCACTGGGCTGATTTACACATGCCGAGTGCCGATGGTATGCGGATGTACTGCGTCGAATGCCACGAACTGATCACCCTGTCAGACGAGTTCCAACGACACGAAGGATGTTTTCGCACGGAAGCAAAGCGGTGCAGTCCATTGAAATGTGCAATATGCCAGTACCATGCCGAAACGCGGAAGTTATTGGCACGTCATGCGAAAATGTTTCACGTGCAGAAGCGGTGTGGATGCTGCGGAGTCCGGGTAAATTGATAAACTGTTAAAGATCTGTTAATTGCTTTGTTTCTGTCTGTCTGTCTGTCCGTTTTCGGAGTCCGCTATTACTTTTACGTTGTCAGTGCAGCATTTTCAGATTAAGAGAGTTCACTGGATGCAGTACTCTGTGCCAGAGTGCATCCTAAGTCGCTACCGTCTCGTTTGTTAAAATTGCACCCTAACCATCAGACTGTGGCACCTGTCCCTTCTGATGTCATGGCCACGGCTCAGACATCCGCAACTGAATATCTGATTTTTTTCACCGAGGCAATGAACAGGAGATTATATCTCTAATTGCTTTGTTCTGAATGTGGTAAATTTTCTCAACAATAACAGCCCCTCTATGAAACCTTGTCAGTGTGAAAGGTTTTGATTGTTGACACTGCCACGACATTCGCGGTAGAGGCAAAAATAATGGCGGACAAGAAGTTCTGACCTACAAGAGAAGTCAGGCATACTTAGAGATATCTAAGCCAGAAGTGTTTTCATAGAAAAGTTCGTTTTTCGCCAAACGTTTGGTCACTTTCTTGCAATATGGGCCTCAGGCAGAATTTTCCACGTCATGACCGCTTAGTTTCATGTACGGCTGATAGTCTCATCTTAAATAACTGATCCCGTGCTGCGGTTGTTCACAAAAAATTCAGAGCATCATTTCTCCTTGAATTTGTTGTCGCATCGAACTTTCCATATGGTGGAAAACAATTCATCCTTGCTTGGCATACTTTTCTGTTTTTTGTTTTTATATTTATCTTTTTAGCTAAACTTTTCTTGGCGCATGAAGGGTCACATTCTCCGGTGTTACAAAAATCGCGATAAAGAAAAATCGACGGGCATTCTCAGTATGTCTAAGGCAGTGATTGATATATCTGATGAAAACCCTGCTCAAAGCAGTATCGATCGCAAAGCCGATAGTTCTGTCCAACGACCAGATAGTACAAATAACGGGTCAAACAATGGTTGTCTGGTTTCGAGTACAGAAGTTGAAGAAGTCACATCGGTGCCGGTCATGGATGTCAAGTTGGAACAGTCAAGCAACGATGATGATAGCGCCACTGGAAGCGAAAGTGAAGATGCCTTGTCGCCCACTTGCCAAACACCGAATGTTGGTTCAACTAATGACTCCGTGTTGCAGTGTGAGGTTGCTTCATCGCCCAAGGTGCAAAACATTCAGTCGACTCCGCAGTCAGTGGACCAGACAAAACAGTCACCTCCCCTCCCTTTGTCTGTATCAAAGAATCAGTCATTGAGTTCGATCCAGCAAGAGCAGCAGACAAATGAATCTCCCATCTCATCTACCGCGGTGTCGTTTTCTTTCACACCCCGACCATCGCCGAATATGAGGTTCGGATGCACGCTGTGTGGTACTACCTTCCGTTACAAAGGAACAGCACTGCGCCATTTAAAGTCCCGTCATCGCGTTAGCGTGTCGATCGATGAATTCATCGAAGAGCAGTTTTCAACGATCGAGCATTTACCATGTACATTCGAATTCACATATTTCTCTGTGAGGTTCTTATCTTTTTTTGCAGGTGAAAGATCCATTGGTTGTCAGGTATCCGAGACATTTTCGAAATGCTCCGAATGCGAGAGGAAAGGTGTGGTCATCAAGCAGCTGAGTTTGCTTTTGAAAAGAATAGCTTCAGAAGCAACTTCAATGGAAACCGGTTAACTGTTAAGTGTGATATGTGGTTATTATTTGCAGATAGATAATCTTAAATCAGTTTCTTAACCTACAAATCTTTGTTTGTTCATATGTATTAAAGAATAAAGTTTTCTTGTCGATATTTGGCTAGAGGTGTACAACATGGACTTCCAGTCTCTACTACACACCTACTGTGTTTATTTAGTTCATTTATTTTGGGGCTATAAAAATTTACTGATCAGTTTTTGTAATTACTAGCCGACAGAACTAATTGCGCATGAAAATGAGTATTTCGCTCCTCATGTACCAGATGCTTGTTTCAGTTATTTGCAAACATGTTAAGCGGCACGCTTATCTCAATACACTGCCCATTCGATTGATTGGCTGAATTTAAGAGTGAAATCAACGCATTCGACGTCAAATCCAGGTTGTTAGATATCATCGGTTACAAGGAAACCTTCAATGCATACCCACGTTGGCTGTAATGAGCGTTCAGGATGAGCAGGTGTACGTGGAGAAAATGATTAACCTCTGACATCGAGGATGGTACACAATCGCTAGTGCTATTCGCAACAGCGGAAGAATCTAGATCGAGCAACTGGTCGTTCCAAATGTAGGGCCAGAGCTCCGGGTTGAAAGATTTGCTAATTCAAGTCTCCATCGGATCAGTGTCTTTCATACGTAGATAAGTAATTTAGGGAAACATGAAACATGCGACGTTAAATGTTGGCTAATCACGCGATAGGAGATATTGCCTTAAAGGACAACTTCGAACCAATGTCTGAGAACATGGCAAGAAAAACCAATGCTGTTTCATAAACCTCATAAAGAATAAGTCCATAAGGAGCATACTGCCTTCCGTTAAAATGTTAGGTCGCATCCGTGAAGTTATGAACTGTTTCTTTCCATCTAAGTGAAGCCATGTTTTATGTAATACCTTGCCGCCATTCGACAATAAATATTCGAAAAGTTTGGTTAGAATCATAAGGGAATAAACTCGAACTGCTTCCTTATTTAAATGTTTTTCTTTATGCTGTCATACCGAAAAAATGACTGAATTGACTACCACAGGCCAACATGGTGATATTTTGACTACATCGACGATGATCTGACGTGGATATTTCGGCACTTTTTAGTACGTTTATTACGACATCATTTTATACTCATCTACTGCAGTTTATTGTAAACTGAGCCACGAAATCGACGTCAATTGGGAAAGCGAAGGTTGCTCTAAAAGGCAGGCAAAGTGGACGAATCAAAACAAAAGTACGGATTTATTCTCAAGATAAGCAACCATTTTCCTCTCTAGAATTTAATCACATCGTCGTCGTACAGAAGGGACAAATTTCTATATTTGTTAGGTAGCAAGGCTTTCATGTTGAGCCTAGTCACGATTTCTAACTTCTCTTAAAGTTGTTTAGAATAAGGACAACAGGACTGCAACCCGAATGATTGGATTACAGGTATGCACTATTTAGAATTATTCATATAAACACAACCAAAATATTATTCATATATTCACTGTGCAGTTTTGTGAATCAACAATGGCGATTTTAGACGATGGCTGATGAATGATATCTGCGACAGACAAATAAGGACCATTGTTTCTGCTACTTAAACAGTCAATACCTGCAGATCAGATGTAGTAAGTGACTGTCTAAGCTTTCAGTATCTTATTTTTGATTGGCCAGTCATGCCGAAATGTGTTCTGGAAACGGTTGAATTATATAAAACAAATGAGGTCTATCAGGTGATTAACCTCTACTAAATTTTCGGTTTGTAGTTCATGCCTTCTTCAATATAAGGCTGACAGTATTTGACTGGTGCAGACAGTAATTGGTTCATTCGAACGATAAGGCGACCATTTGGTACATTTTTCCTCTTTAACAGTTATTCGACGACAGGCACGAAGAGGTTCATCAAATCCGCTAAAAGTGCGTCATCGAAGAATTGGGCATTTTGCACTACCTTAAAAAATAATTATATAGGAAGGAAACAAGGCCTCTCCCATCATTGAGTCAAACTGTAATCTGAAAGAGCTTAGGAATGGTACATCATGCGACTTATAAACTCATCATGATTCTGTGCCATGTATGTTTTAAATTGACAGTTTGCGACGCAACGTTTTGTACACAAGGATGGTCTGATGGAATGGAGTACAACAGTTTACGGCCACCAACATTGCGTCCCGTAAATAGTTTTTTTCAGTGTTAAGCAACACGGTTTTATGAACAAATAGGTGGACATAACGAAGTTCATACCGTACGTAAATTTCGTTGCTCTTTGTATCGTTAATGTTGTTGTGTTGCTCAACCCCTAAGAAAACAGAGATATCACTGAAACTTGTAAAAATTGCTGTATTCGATCAGATTGCCGTTGCTTCAAAAACCACAGCGTCAGAAATGTTGCCAAGTTTTTAGCATGAAGAAGAACGGGTGGCCAAATCAAAGAACATTTGTTTGTTTAATGTAGAATGGTGTGCGTCTGTTTCAGTCTGCCTTTATTAAACATATTAGACTGATGATTAACATATTAAACTCCGCCATGGCCGGTCCC